AAATACATTTTTTTAAAAAGACTTTATTTTTTATTGCTTCTTAGCCTTTTGGCTAAGATCAAGTTAAGATTTTATTTTTGAGTAATCTCTACATGTGGGGCTCAAACTTACAACCCCGAGATCAAGAGTTGCATGCTTTACCGACTGAGCCAGCCAGGTTCTCCTTAAAATACATTTTTTTTAAAGATTTTATTTATTTATTTGAGAGAGAGAGAGAGACAACAAGAGGGGGAACACAGGCAGGGGGAGTGGGAGAGTGGGAGTGGGAGAGGGAGAGGGAGAAGAAGGCTCTCTGCTGAGCAGGGAGCCTGATGCGGGGCTGGATCCCAGGACCCCGGGATCATGACCTGAGCCGAAGGCAGATGCTTAACGACTGAACCACCCAGACAGCTGATGAAATCAGAATAAGGATAATGTTACGAAATTAATGCTAGTTTCCTTAAGTGTGATAAACACTCTGTGGTTGTAATAGGGCACTGTCCTTATGCATGCTTAAGTATTAAGTGATGTGGTACCTGCTATTACTTTCCAATTATTGGGCCAAAACAAGTGTGTAAACACACAGAGGTTAAGCAAATGTGGCAAAATATGAAAAAGTGGTGAAGAAAAGCTAAGGGTATACAGGCATTCATCATACTATTCTTTCAACTTGCCTATAGGTTAGAAAATTTCAAAATAAAAAAGAATATAAGAAAAATTAAGCAAATGCAACTGCTGAATAGTGAAACTAAATATAACACAGAAACCATATCATACATGTTTTTTATTGTATCTTTCCTAATTTTAATTATTAATGCTATTTCAGTATTTATAATATAGAAACATTAACATATCAAAACAGTGTTGTGCAAAAGAACTTTCTGTAACAGAAATGTTCTGTTATTTAACAAACTGTTCAACACAGTAGCTGTTTAACACAGTAGTTACTAGCCACATGTAGCCATCAAATGCTGGAAATGTGGCTAGTCTGTCTGAGGAACTGAATTTTATTGACTTATTTAGGTATTTATTTAAAGATTGTATTTATTTATTTGACAGAGAGAGAGAGAGGGCTAGAGAGAAAAGTGGGGGAAACGGTACAGGGAAAGGGAGAAGCAGACTCCCCACTGAGCAAGGAACCCGATGCAGGGACCCTGAGATCATGACCTGAGCCAAAGGCAGACACTTAACCGACTGAGCCACCCAGGCGCCCCTGAATTTTAAATTAAGTTTAATTTAACCTAATGTAAATAGTCGTATGTGGCTAGTGGCTATTACACTGGTCAGAGCAGTGTTAGAATGTTACGGAAAAATATAAATTTTATAGTGAATAATTTCAAATTCGTAAAAAAATTTATTTAAAAAGTAAAAGAAAGTATAAAAAGCACACTTCTTCCCCTTCTACTTTTCAATGGTTGTCAAAATTTCTGAATATATATATTAATTTCATAATCAGAAAATAACTTTAGAAAAAATTAGTGTTATCACCAAAAAAGTCAGATTAACCACTGTCATTACAAACACTGGATTGGATGAATTAATTTTATTATTGTTATTAAGAAGTTACATAAGTTACATAAGGGGCCCCTGGGTGCCTCAGTCAGTTAAGCGTCTGCCTTCGGCTCAGGTCATGATCCCAGGGTCCTGGGATCGAGTCCTGCATCGGGTTTTCTGCTCAGTGGGGAGTCTGCTTCTCCCTCTGCCCCTCTCCCCTGCTCGTGCTCTCTCTCTCAAAAATAAATAAATAAAATCTTAAAAAAAAAAAGAAGTTATGTAAGATGTCAAATGAGGAATAAAAGTAAACTTTCTCAATTCTGAGGAAACATTCATAAACAAAAACAGTTAGTCAAATGGTCTTACATTCCAGTCACCACTGAGGGTATCTGCAAAACTCAGAAAGTCACTGGCTCTCACAAGATCATCTACTTCCACGAAGAAATCTATGTAGTTTTGGTGAAGATATAAATTAAATAACTCTCCTGGCATGTGTGACATTTCTACTACTTCCTATAAAAAGAAGCAAACACATATAATTTAGGCAAAAATGCAGTGGTTAAATGTATACATCCATAAATGTAAATAATATATATCCTGTAAAAAGTACTAAATGTTTAATGAAAGACTTTACCTCAGGTTGAACAAGTAAGGTATCCCGCTCATACTCGGATAAATGCGAAGGCAACCGAGGGGAATCCAATTCTGTTAAAGATGCTCCTATAAAAAAATTTCTGGAATTATTAAAAATACTCATAGAACCACTCATTTGAAAGTTTTTTCAAAACTTTAGGCAAATAATACCAAACATACTAAGCAAGATGTTAAAAATAAAAAAACAACGTAAGTGGAGGCTTATGTGAGTTACCTCACTATTACAGTGCCTTGCTGCTATATATAAAATGAGTTGTCTCATTATCACTATTCTTAAGAAATCAAATTAGAATTCTGATGTCTGGATTATGGCTTTTCTAGAAATAAAATATTCCAACTCCCAAAGCACTCTGCAGCATTTCACCTTTTCAGCTCTGCATTGCTTTCTTCTTTTGATCCTCATTCTCAATATAAAAATCTTTACTATTTTCTTTACTATGTAGAATGAGGCTGCTTTCTGCATGGGACAACAGGAACCCTGTTCCTTGATGCAAGAAGTTATAAATGAATGTTGAGAAGGCAAACAAAAAAATAGAAGGAAAAGAATCAGTGGGAATAGCCACTGAGGTTCGGAGGTAAGAGACCCAAGGACAGAGGTGCATCTTACTTCCACCTAAGTGTCCCTGTTTCATTTTGTTCAGGTGGCAGGAAGGTTTCCATTTAGAAATCCCAAATTTTCAACCATCTGGAAAGAAGAAACTGAGAGATATTAGCCTAAAACAAGAAGGATGCCTGGAGTGAGAAGACAATGAAGCAGAAATAGAGAAACAACAGAAGACAAAGAGGCAAGGTAGGTAAGATGGAAAACAGGTATGTGAGGCACTCAAGAGTTTTATAGGACGATAAAAACAGCTGTTTATTTATTTTTTTAAAGATTTTTTATTTATATATTTGAGAGAGAGAGAATGAGAGAGAGAGCACATGAGAGGGGGGAGGGTCAGAGGGAGAAGCAGACTCCCTGCTGAGCAGGAAGCCCGATGCGGGACTCGATCCAGGGACTCCAGGATCATGACCTGAGCTGAAGGCAGTTGCCCAACCAGCTGAGCCACCCAGGTGCCCTAAAAACAGCTGTTTAAAACAGCTAGGTTTTTGGCAACCAGAAAACAGTCTCAGATAATAAGAGGTGTGATAAGCATGAAGCTTCAACAAATGTCTGTCCACATACTGTTTGTGATCCACTGAAGCAGCTATTTTACAAGAGGTTTGAAAAACTATCTGAGAGGAAATTGAGGACACGACACATATAACTTTTCTCAATGGTCCATTATGATGATTTACTTTGTGCTATAACAGATAAAACAGTTCCAAACTACAGCAATAGTTTCCTTCAAAATTTGGTAAGAATTGTTTCAATCTATATAAAGGCATGTCAGATGCCCACCCACCCCCCACCCCCAATCCTAATTCTCTTCCTTCAGGATCCGCAGACTAAGAACTGATGTTTTCTACATGAAAAACAGAAGTCTGGGATTTTTTGAAAGGAAAAACAATCTGGGAGCTTAGAGATCAGCGATCCGAGTGGAGGGACTGAGGGGAAGCAGGCATTAAAGAAAGAAGAGGGAAAGAGAGCATCTCTGGCTGGGGAGAGGGCAGGTAGTAAAGAGAAATGTAAGGAGTTCCAAAGAAGCCTGAAGCTACCTGGCAATTTGTCTAGGGTCCTGGTGTCCAGAGTTCAAGCCTAAGAGGGCTTTGGGCTACCAACACCTGCCACTAAAATTCTAGAGAAACTGATGTCTTACCTGCAGCAAACTATACTTTTAAATAAGATTTACAGACATGGATATAGTCTACAGTAGTTTTTACATTTAGTCCTGTCCATAGTCCAAAAATACTCTATCTACATACATTTACTGGCTATGTCTTAGGCCTTGCCAAACAGTATCAGACCTAGCCCTAGATGTGAAATATGTGACATTTTCAAAAACTGGTATTTAATTTCAGTTGTAAGACTAATACCTAACAGATTTTTAAAAAAACATATCAGATTTTCTTACTTTTACAATATAATATTTTCCCCAGAGCTCTGAAGAGAAAAAGAGAAACATCTTTGCCACCAATAGCTTGGACCTCTTGGTTTTCAAAAACCCTATCAGTTTTTTTCCTTTGTTTTGATTTTGACAGCGCAGCATCTGATTTTATTGAAGACACTCCTTTCTTCCTTGGCCATAAACGATTTTCTCCTAAATAATATACACCCAAGAGACAATATTGAAAATAAAATTAAAATATGAAAAATAAAACTGACGTTTTATGTAAGTTACACTAAATAGTCAAATTAAAATATATTTTTTCTAATAAACCGTAATTACAAAATTTGTGAACTCAGTTGTCTTTGGGTTGCTACACTATTAAAATGGAATAAAACATCATCTAAAAGTACCTTATGACACAGATTTCAAATTTTCATCCATAAACACATTCTCTAATATAGGCCTATCATTTTGAATTCTCATGGTACTGCTGGTGCAAGGTACTGTTCTTGGTGTATGGTATGTATTAGCCAACTAAATCCTCAAAATAACTTGATTAGGTGAGAACTATTATTACACACATTAAAGATAGGAGTAGGAGATAAAAAGAGATTAAGTAACTGCCTCAAGGTCATCAGCTAGTAAGTGATTTGAATCCAGGCAGTACAGTTCTGCAGTGCATGTTCAACAACTATTCTGTATTATCTCTCTACTGATTTGGGAAGTCTTTAATTTATGAATATGCCTGTGTTGAAATTTCATTGGTAAATCTACTGTTCAAAACTCAGAATGCATCACTTAAGAAAAGTAGCCTGGAAGAGCAAAAAGAACATCGAATCTGGGTTTGATTCTTTTTTTTTAAAGATTTTTATTTATTTATTCATGAGAGACAGAGAGAGAGAGGCAGAGGGAGAGGCAGGCTCCCAAGAAGCAGAGAGTCCGATGCGGGACTCGATCCCAGGACCCTGGGATCATGACCTGAGCTGAAGGCAGATGCTCAACCATCTGAGCCACCCAGGCGCCCTGGGTTTGATTATTATTGTTTATCTCATTAAGCTGGTCAAGAATTAAATGAAGCAATATATGCTTACTAATAGTTCCTGACCCACTCAAAAAATATTTTCTTCCCTTTAAAATTTCTGAGCTCAGAGTAATAAGGTTATAAATGACAGGATTGCAAACTGGCCTACTTCAGCCTTCCCAACCCATAATTCCAGTAGTGAACCTAAGCACCATTTACACTTATGTTTCTATAGGAATAAGCAGAATTCTGGTTTCGGTTGTATTACGCTGCTTATTTACTCTTCTCTACAGTTATTTTTAAAAACAAAAGATATAAACTAAACGAACAGGTTATATTTGTAGGTAGATGCTAGGATTGCAGGTGGATTTTGAGAGCTCCAAAGATGGCTTTTAATTTTTCAAGGTCAATTTCTCAATGTGAAACATCAAGTAGGGTGCTTGTTAAATGTTTTCTGATGAGAACCATGTACAAGAAACCATGTGCTATCTCTCTCTTTCTCTATTTTTTCGTATTTATTTGAGGGGCGCCTGGGTGGCTCAGTCGTTGGGCGTCTGCCTTCGGCTCAGGTCATGGTCTCAGGGTCCTGGGATCGAGCCCCGCATCGGGCTCCCTGCTCCGCAGGAAGCCTGCTTCTCCCTCTCCCACTCCCCTTGCTTGTGTTCCCTCTCTCGCTGTGTCTCTGTCAAATAAATGAAATCTTTA